CCCGGCCCTCCCCCGAGCCCCGCTTACTTCCTGCGCTTGCGCTGGTTCCCGTGCAGGACTTCCCGCACCGCCTCGTACAGGGTGTCGCGAGAGACTTTGCTGCTGCGGGGGAAGAGCGAGGGCGCTCAGCCCGGCCCGCCGCCCCACCGCCCCACCGCCGGAGCCATGACGGGCGACCGGGGCCCGCGACCAGACGGGCCAACAAGTGGCTCCAGGCTGCCCAGAGCCAGCGTCAGGAGCCCCCGACGCAGACTGGAGGACGCCTGCGCCCCGATGGGCACCCAGCGGCACGGATGGGCGCGGATAGCGAATGCCGCCCGCTACGTACCTCATGGCTGCAGGATCCGCGGCACACAAGCAATCAGCAGAGAGGCGGGTACGGCGTGCGCAGGCGCTCAAATACGGACTCGATTCTCGCGAGAATTGTCTGTCGGAAGCGCTATTTGGTCATTCGGCCTTGAGCATTGCCGTGTGCAGCCACTGGAGGGCGCAGTCGTGTGACGTTCCGGTAGCGTGGCAGGCGGGGTCCCAGTTCCCAGCTGCTGCCAGACTCAGCCTAGGAACTAGATCTGAGGTGAGTTCAGGCTTCCTGCAGCCCTTCAACTGCCCTGCCTTCCACAACGATCAGATGGTTTAAAAATACTGTACTGTATTTGTACAATTGATATACAGAGGGATTAAAGTTATATGCATCAGGTACAATCAGCTACAATTCTTTTTGACCCATGTGAAGTTTGGTCCTAGGGCTTGAACTCAGGGCCTGCTTGCCATCTCTGAGCTTTTCTGCTCAAGGCTAGCACTCTGCCACTTGAGCCACAACTCCACTTCTAGATTTTTTCTTTTTTGTCAGTTGTAGGGCTTGAACTCTGGGCCTGGGTGCTATACCTCAGCTCCTCAGCTCAAGGCTAGCGCTCTACCACTTGAGCCACAGCACCACTTCTAGATTTTTTCTTTTTTGTCAGTTGTAGGGCTTGAACTCTGGGCCTGGGTGCTATACCTCAGCTCCTCAGCTCAAGGCTAGCGCTCTACCACTTGAGCCACAGCGCCACTTCCGACTTTTTCTCTGCTGATGTGGTGCTGAGGAATTGAACCCAGGGCCTCATACATGCAAGGCAAGCTCTCTACCACTGAGCCAACTTCCCAGCCCTCCACTTCTAGATTTTTTTTTTTTTTGGGTCCAGTCGTGGGGCTTGAACTCTGGGCCTGGGCCCTGTCCCTCAGCTCTTCAGCTCAAGGCTAGCGCTCTACCACTTGAGCCACAGCACCACTTCCGGCTTTTTTCATTTTGCTTATGTGGTGCTGAGGAATCGAACCCAGGGCCTCCTGCATGCAAGGCAAGCACTCTACCACTGAGCCATCTTCCCAGCCCCCACTTCTAGATTTTTATTTTTTATTTATTTGCCAGTCCTGGGGCTTGAATGCAGGGCTTGAGCACTGTCCCTGAGCTGCTTTGTGCTCAAGGTTAGTGCTCAACCACTTGAGCCACAGCACCACTTCTGTTTTTTTTTTCTGTGTATGTGTACTGAGGAATCGAACCTAGGCCTTCATGCATGCTAGACAAGCACTCTACCATTAAGCCACATTCCCAGCCCTCCACTTCCAAATTTTGGGTGGTTAATTGGAGATGAAAGTCTTTCCTGTCCCAGCTTACCTAAAACCTTAGTCCTCAGATCTTAGCCTCCCAAATAGCTAGGATTACAGGCATGAGTCACCAGTGCCAGGCTTATGAAGTTTGTTTTCTTTTGCTGCCTTGAGTAGGGTGATCAGCAAGAGGGCCTCAGGGCAGCTACCACTTCTAAGCCTGTCCACGTGTAGTATGCTAGGAACTCAATGTGGGCCACAACCAGTCAGTGACCAAGACTAGCCCCTGGGGGAAATAATGATCTCTGTTCTTGAGATGTGCAGAACTGAAAAGCCTGTTGTGACTGATTAGGATCACAGGTGCACCTTGACTGTGAGAAGACGCCTGGCAGGCTGCAGCCCTCCTGTGCTCTGGGGATACCCGTGAGGCGGCCCCAATAAGACATTGGATCAATGTCCATTTTTTCTGTATTTGCTGCCTTTACCACTAAAGTCCTCGTTCTTCACCACCTTCTCTCCACCTAATAAAGTTGTCTCCCTTGGTGACCCCTATGTCTTAAAAGAAGGTCAGGGGTCAGGGCAGGTGTTGCCTATCTAGAGGGGTGAAGGGGTCTCACCCAGAACTTGGCTAAGAGAAAGGTATTAGCAGGGCTCTCCTCAGAGATCCTTATAGCTGCCCCTTTTCTTTCTTTTCTTTCTCTTCCTTTTCTTTCTTTTTTGTAGGTCATGGGTCTTGAACTCTGGGCCTGGGTGCTGTCCTGAGCTCAGCTCTTCAGCTCAAGGCGAGGGCTCTACCACTTAAGCCATAGCACCACTTCCGGTTTTCTGGTGGTTTACTGGAGATAATAGTCGCACGGACCTTCCTGCCTGGGCTGGCTTTGAACCAAGATCCTCAGATCTCAGCCTCCTGCATAGCTAGGATTACAGGCATGAGCTACTGACACCTTTTCTCTGGAAGCTTGTGCTAGATCTGGCCCATGGATTGGCTGATGTGCATATATATGCTGAACAGGTACCGTGGGAAGGATCCAGACAGGATCAGAGGAGATTTGGGGCTCTGTAACAGGCCCAGGGCTAGAGATTCTGTAGTATCATACAGACCATTGTCAGAACCCACGTTTGTCCCTCAAATCTCTGCCCACTTCCTGCTGCCTTCCAGATCAACTAGGGCTTAAGCCATCATCTTTTTTCATATTAGTACTGGGTTTGAACCCACGGACTTCCTCTCAGCGTGCTCACAGCTGGCATTGGCCACTTGAGGCTCACCTCCACTTCTACCTTTTGCCGGCCAATTGTAGCTAGGAGTCTCATGGACTTTCCTGGTTGGACGGCTCCAAACCTCCATCCTCAGATCTCAGCCTTTTGAGTAGCTAGGATTATAGGTAAGCCACCAGGACTCAGCTTTTGATTTATTTTTTTTTTTAAATTGACACTAGTTAGTTGAACCGGAACCAGGGTTTCATTTGAACAAGTGTTGGGTGTTTCCAGTGAACAAGGCGCTGGGGTGAGTGCTCTGGGAACACCAGCTAGGAAAACAGGTGCACAGCACCACAAACCTCTTTTCTGCCCTTCGGGTCCATCCTCTTCTTAGCCTACACTAACTCAGCTTCCTCCGCAAGTATTTATGTGGGACTAGGGAGTAGCTTGGTGGTAGAACTTACCTGGCAAGCGCGAGGCTCTGAGTGCAAACCCTGGTACTGCCGAAACAGGCAGCTCTCTCAAGGGTGGGATCACACACAACTGGGCAGAATGTGAATACATCAATTTTGGTTTTTTGGGGGGGTCCAGTTGTGGGGCCTGAACTCTGGGCCTGGGCGCTGTCCCTCAGCTCTTCAGCTCAAGGCTAGCGCTCTACCACTTGAGTCACAGTGCCACTTACAGCTTTTTTCTTTTTGCTTATGTGGTGCTGAGGAATCGAACCCAGGGCCTCAGGCATGCAAGGCAAGCGCTCTACCACTGAGCCACCTTCCCAGCCCTTGAATACATGAATTTTAGAATGAAGGCCTGCAACTTTCTTACCATTAAAAGATGACATTGTGTGAGGATAAACAGGGAACATTAACAAACAAACACCCAGAGACAGCAAGGAGTCAAGCACTGCTTTTCTTTTTTTTTTGGTCGGTTCTGGGGCTTGAAACTTGGCCTGGGCCTGTCTCTCAGCTCTTCAGCTCAAAGTGAGTGTGCTATCATTTAAGCTATAGCACCACTTCTGGTTTTGTGAGTGGTTTATTGGAGATAAGAGTCTCTCCAAGGACTGGGAAGGTGGCTCAGTAATAGAGTGTTTGCCTTGCATGCATGAGGCCCTGGGTTCAATTGCTCAGCCCCACATAAGCAAGAAAAGCCGGAAGTAGGACTTTGGCTCAAACGATAGAGCGCTAGCCTTGAGCTGAAGAGCTGAGGGACAGCGCCCAGGCCCGGAGTTCAGATCCCACGACTGGCCTAGCACTGCTTCTAATAAGATAGCACTGAATTTTATTTTATTTTTTGCAGGTCATGGGGCCTGAACTCTGGGTCTGGGCGCTGTCCCTCAAGGCTAGCGCTCTACCACTGGAGCCACAGCGCCACTTCCGGCTTTTTCTGTTTATGTGGTGCTGAGGAATCGAACCCAGGGCCTCATGCTTGCAAGGCATGCACTCTACTGCTGAGCTACCTTCCCAGCCCCTGCATTGAACTTGTTTTTGAGACAAGGACTCACTATGTTGTCCAGGCTGGTCTTGAAATTGGTGTCTTTCCCACCTCAACCTCCTGAGACTACAGAAATGCATGGAGCTAGGTACTGGGGGCTCACGCCTGTAAATTCTTAGCTACTCAGGAGGCTGAGATCTGAGGATCATGGTTCAAAGCTAGAAAAGTCAGTGAGACTTTTTTTTTTGCCAGTCCTGGGACTAGAACTCAGGGCCTGGGCACTGTCCCTGAGCTTCTTTTGTTCAAGGCTAGTGATCTACCAGTTAAGCCACAGCGCCATTTGTGGCTTTTTCTGTTTATATAGTACTGAGGAATTGAAACCAGGGCTTCATACATGTTAGGCAAACACTCTACCACTAAGCCACATTCCCAGTCTATGAGGCTATCTCCAATTATTATCACAGGAAAAGCCAATGTGGAGCTGTGGCTCAAGTGGTAGAATGGTAGCCTTGAGTTCAGGCCCCACGACTGACCAAAAAAAAAAAAAAAAAGTAATAATAATAAAATAATAAAAAGCATGAGAGCCCTGTGCAAATCTTGCTCTTTATTAAATACTATTGATCCTGTCAGGGGCCAGGAGCCCCCGTGCGGGCTGCAGGGCCCAGATGACCTCTGTGCGGCCTGGAGCAGGGGGCAGCGGGCCCCTGGGATGGCCAGGCCCTGCTTTCCTGCTGAGGCGAGGGGCAGGCCAGGTGCCGAGAGCGGGTGCGAGTGCGGCTCAGGAGGGCAGTCCTTCGGTGGAGGCTCAGCGGGCCAGATGTTTCAAGGAGGCCTGCAGGGACTTCCTCAGGAAGGTGGCGTTGGACTCCAGGGCCACAGCCAGGCCCAGCCTGTGGGTCTCTGTGATCTGAGGGAAGGAAGAGTCAGGTCAGAGCTCCAACAGATGGGCCTTCCCCTCTTCTCTTCTTTGGAAGGAGAGGAAGCTAGGATGTGGGACTGGGGACGGAGGACAGGAGAAGGTTCCGAAGTAACCAAACCTCATTATTTCACCGTATGGACTGGAACCAGATAGCAGCTGCGCAGTGACGAGCTGGTACATTGCCTCTAGCTGACAGCTAGTGCACGTTACGTGCACTACAGCCCCATGTCAGTTGTGTACTGCCACGTCCTTGTGGACCACACTGTCTCTTTGCTGACTTGTTCCC